GTAAATTGGCTGCCCAGGCACCCAGAACTGCGTGTCAGAAAGAAAGATAGAACAAAAAAAAGGAAAGAGAAAAAAAAATAAATCTAGCTTGCTATGTGTGCGGGCCAGGATGACACATTGAAAGTGTCATAAACCCCCCCTGTCCTGTGATCCCCCGCTGTCAGGCACCAAGATGCAGCTTCACCAGTCTGGGTATTTGAAATCTCCACAGCTCTCTCTCCTCCCAGCGCTGACAGGACAGGCTAGACACATTCTGATTGGTCAGCATCGTCCATGTGACAGTGCTGACTGATTAGTATGCCTCTTGTCCATACACTGAAAGGTACGCATAGAAGTTTAAGCCGCAGGGATTTGAAATCCCTGGATCAGAGAAGAGGCATCCCAATGCCTGACAGCGGACGGCTGACAAAAGCCCAGGCGCCAGGGCGCAATTTCTAATCACCATGGCGACCTGGTGGCTGGGATTTGTCGAGCCCCGGCTTAACCTCTTCACGCTGAGCGTATGCAAAAATGCGGCCCCTCAGCAGCTGGGCCTTGACTCCAAGCGGCCGCATATTTGTGTGTCATTTGCAGAGGCGGACTGACCATTCGGACACTCAAGCACTGCCCGAGGGCCCAGGGTCAGTAGGGGGCCCCATGAGATGCCCCTGGTACCTTTCATAGTCTTTTTTTGGGGAGTTGTTTGAGTGTGGGCAAGGGCACAGGGGCCCCATGATCCCCTATTGTCCGGGGGCCCCATGAGTTGTCAGACCACCCTTAGTCAGTTGTAAAGAAACGTGCTAAGAGCACACACCCTGCACGCTCCCAGCACGTGTCGGCGTCCCACGGAACGGTCCCAATCTCTCCTTGCTGTAGCCTTTGTTTTCCTTACCTATCTGATTACCTAGGCCAGTGAAGGAGAATTCTATGGCTTTTAGTGGTTAAATGGATATAGGAAGGGAAAATGTGGAAGCACTGATTTGTAAAGGGGCTGTAATAGCAGCGATCTTATCACTTAGTATCATGTAGTACATCTGCAGTCTCTGTCTCCTGTAGTCTGTCTGCAGTCACTGATCATGTCCTGTAGTCTGTCTGCAGTCACTGATCATGTCCTGTAGTCTGTCTGCAGTCACTGATCATGTCCTGTAGTCTGTCTGCAGTCACTGATCATGTCCTGTAGTCTGTCTGCAGTCACTGATCATGTCCTGTAGTCTGTCTGCAGTCTCTGAACATCTCTTGTAGTCTGTCTGCAGTCTCTGAACATCTCTTGTAGTCTGTCTGCAGTCTCTGGCCATCTCCTGTACTATGTCCGCAGTCTCTGACCATCTCCTATAGTATGTCTGCAGTCTCTGACCATTTCCTGTACTATGCCTGTAGTGTATTATCATCTCCTGTAGTACATCTGCAGTCTCTGATCACGTCCGGTCATATGTCTGCAGACTCTGACAGGTGTTTGTATCATTATTAGTCTCAGAACAATATCTGTGGCCCTTTGGTGGTGTCAGGGGCTGCAGTTGAGGGCCCCTATATTAAGAAAGTTGGCCTGACCTAAACCACATGGATCTATTAGATTAGCACCGCTGTGGTCACTAGTACCAAGAAGGAGATGTCTCTGGTGGCCCAGTGTATGGGCAGTTTAGTTCTCTACAGAAGACGGGATCATTCCTGACCAACAGGTGAATAAACAGAAGTCGATGATCTGGGATAGTTTGCTCTGCCCACCTGCACTGCTCTGTCACTGTTTCCACTATACACGCACTGTTTGATGTCGGAGATAATTTTCCAGCACCGTCTTCACATAGAATGAAGGTAATTCACATTTAGCTCTGCTCAAGTTATAAACAATAACATTTACAGAACTGTCCCACACACATCTCACCCCCAGAAAAAAATCGCACAGCTTGTTGGCTCATATGTGAAGTGGTTATAACAGACCTGCCCTCCGGATCATAGAATAAAGACGGTCAGATGTGATCGGTCACCGCTCACCATTGGCTATCCTCCCATTTTTGGCTGCAGGACAGTATTGTCCAGTGTGGGTCACCCAACAACCCACCTCCCCAGTAATAAAAGATCAGACAAAGAATCCTTTTATTGACTATTGTCTGTTCAATACCAGTCCAGATACTGATTACAGGAGACCATCTCCCCAGATCCTTCAGCAGAGACCATTGGCCAATGCCTTGGCTCTCTTCATGTGACCAGACTCGAGTGTGAAGGCATTTCCATTACTGCTGGAAGGGTAGAAAGTTATATACTGTAAATGGGAGATTGTATTTGTGATTTATAGGAGGCCTGTGCTGACAGAAACACAGAGGCAGCCATGACTCAGCTCCACCTTTAAATGCTGGTTGCCTGGATGTCATGCTGATCCTCTGGAGTTCATCTAATCCCATCTCGAAACAAAGCCTATTGCCATGGATAGAAGGTCTCTCAATCCAGCAAAATACTATCCATAGCCCCACCTGCAGGCCACTGACAGCATGCCAGCCATCTCATCTATACTGTCCGTATGACGTCACTGGTGGGACTGCTATAGACAGAGAGATGCACACAATCGCTATCAGCTTTCCGCTGCCCGGCATTTATTTCAATGGAGACAACGTTTACCATCATGGAGTTATAATCATTTCTGGAAACTGACTGGTCTCTACTGGATGAAAGTGTCTGAAGGAAGAACTGCCTGTGTTGCCCACAGCAACCAAATTTTCCCTTTATTTGTGCAGCACAATATGAGTAAACTGGAATCCCCAGGATTAGTTATCACTTCTGTTATTATGGGAGGGAGACTTCATCCATCTACACAACACTTCATATGGCTTCTGGTGCAGTACTGCCCTCCGGAGGAACAAGAAAGCACATGCACTCAGGATATATATATATACATACACAGTATTTACATACACAGGATACACTCACTGGCCACTTTACTAAGTTCACCTGTTCAATTGCTTGGTAATACAATTCGCTAATCAGCCAATCACATGACAGCAACTCAATGCATTTAGGCATCTAGACGTAGCGAAGACAACTTGTTGAAATTCAAACCGAGCATCAGCATGCACAAGGTAAGAGAACAGAGTGGTGGGAGGGTCTCACCAGGCTCCACCCACTACAGAAAATTAAAGGAGGGGGAGGAGACCAGACCAGTCCCCCTGCACAGAGAGAGCAGCAGTGAGCGGTCTTTATTCCAGGAAGTCTCACGCTAGATTACTGCGCAGATCTGGAAGAAATACACAAAAATTATCGAGATTCAAGACACGATGATGGATTTAGATCCCGGAGTTCAACTTTAATTTCCACTTTTTACAGGCGATCACCTTTAAATTGCACTTACAGCCAACATGTATTTTTCATTGGAGTAGGAAATGGTCAGTTTTTTTGTTTGTCATCTGTGTAAAGTTGGGGGGATTTCCCGTCACTTCCTCACAAAGGTTATGAAACCCTCCCTTAGCTTGTTGTCATCTAATTGCCTGGATGTCATACTGATCCTCTGGAGTCCCCATTGGAGGATTTTCCTTCCTGTTCCAGTAATGTTTCTAAATCTGTGATCTCTCATTGATGATAGTCACCAAGACAAACAGGAGGAGGAATCTACCCAGCGGGGACACAGGCTGGGTGTTCCAACCCTTTACCATCCTACCCAAACTTAGTGCTGGATTACCAAATAGACAGAGTAGGCCCCGGCCTAAGGGCCCCATGACAACGGATCAAAACAATAATGAGTTGATCTTGATAGGAAATTACAATGAAGTTTTCCTAAAGTGTTTGGAAAAGATAGAAAAAGTAACTCAACTCAAAGAAAGGAAAACTTTCCATGAAAGCCTCGTCTGAATGTAACGTACCCACCAACAAGTCCACACACCAGAGACGTCGGGGTCACATTACAGTTTGTCTCTTCTTCTTTCTGCTGTTAGTTTGTAAAACATTTTGGTAAAACCTATGTACTTGTAATGTACAGTAGGGATGGTCATCTCCATCTAGCGGCCGACGCGCACACTACTTAGTTCAATGGTATCCCACTAGAGCGTGCAGCAGAAACCTGCCAGAGGGGCCCCAAGATGTCCACTGCCTAGGGACCTCCACAGAGTGTATTCCGGCACAGCCCAAGCATACTGTAATAGTTGCCAGTGACTTCTACAATGTGCCCACAGTCTTCCTTACCAGGTGGCAGGTTTGTTTTAGTGAAAGCCCTCTGATTTTTATCACATAATAGGACCCCCCAGGGCCATTTCATGCCCCCATTGAGGAGCTCTGCACTTCCTCCTATCTAGGAAGGACACAATGTACAGATATGTGACTCCGGCCTGACCCGGCACATCCGCAGCGGCTTCACAGGCCTCCATATTCATGAGGGGACTGATACCGACACTTATATATAGCCGGGAACGTATTAACCTCATTTTCATCACATTCCTCCCCTGCAAACATATTTATTGGTTGCTCAGAGACCCCTTGCGTGGATGGAGTTGCAAGCAAACAGGCTGAGTCTATTTGTGTATGTAGACAGAGATTCATTGTGACAGAGCGCGGGGTGAGTCAATACTCGCTGTGTCCGGGTGGTGTCCAGCTGTAGACACTCACAAGGCAGAAATGTCAAGGAAACCGCTGGAAGCTGAGGCTGTGCTTAGGGCAGCAGATGTAGCGTTGGGCCCCGGACTCCGGAGCCATGCTTCCCTGTCACCTGGCAACCAGCTGAGTGCTGAGCAGAGATGACAGCGATTTTGTGAATGAACTCTGTGAGTGATTATGGACATCGGCTGCTTCTTGCTGGAAATCATACACAGAAGTTATCCATTAAAGCCAAACCTTCCTCAAATGTATACATATAGATTGTAGTTCTGCTCAGCCAGTCTTGTGATTCACACAGCCCCTGACACACCCTATAACCTAGAACAGGGGCCTCCAAACTACAGCCCGCTACAAGACTGTGTTCAGCCCTCAGCTAGGGTCATTGGTGTATCCTCAATGTGCACTGACTGAGGATTGGGGTCAGCAAAGGCTACCTAGCATCTCCACTTCTGATATAAGGGGGGACTCTGATGGGGACCCTGATGTAAGGGGGACTCTGATGGGGACCCGGATGTAAGGAGGACTCTTATGGGGACCCGGATGTAAGGAGAACTCTGATAGAGACCCGGATGTAAGAGGGACTCTGATGGGGTCCCAGATGTAAAATGGACGCTGATGGGGACCCTGATGTAAGGACAACTCTGATGGGACACTGATGGAGACCCAGATGTAAGGGGAGACTCTGATGGGGACTCATATGTAAGGGGAGACTCTGATAGGGACCCAAATGTAAGGAGGACTCTGATGGAGACCCTGATGTAAGGGGAGACTCTGATAAGGACTTTGATGTAAGGGGGGACTCTGACAGGGGCCCTGATGGAAAGGGGAAATCTTACGGCAGACTCTAATGTAAGGAAGCTCTGATGGGGACCCTGAAGTAGGGGGGCACTCTAATGGGGTACAAGATTAAAGGGGATTCTGATGTAGGAGGTGACTCTGATGGGAAACCTGTTGTAAGGGGGATTTAGATGGGGACCCTGATGTAAAGAGGACTCTGATAGGGATCCTGATATAAGGGGAACACTTATGGGGACCCTAATAGGGACTCTGATGTAGGGGGGATTCTGATGGGGTCCCTGATTAAGGAGGGACTCTGATGGGGATCCTGACGTAAGAGGGACACTTATGGGGATAGCACTCCAAGAGAAAAAAACAAACGAAACCAGCGCTCCAATCTTCATGCAAACCAAGAAATTGTCAAAATGCCAACCGAAGAGGTGCTGCCCTTCTGAGATCGGGGAATCTGACTACTGGTAAATAAAAACAGACAAGGGCGCACTCTCATCGTGCATTACCGTGGTATAATATAAAGATGTATACTCACAAACCAACGTGATTATAGGCAGTAAAGGTGATCCACAAATACAGTCACAATGCAAACTGTGTCTAATGATGCGGATAAGCTGACACGTTTCGGGAGCTGAACCCCCTTCCTCAGAGCTGGGGATGTGTCTGCTGGCCACAAGCCTATATACTAATGGGATGTCAGAAGGAGGGTGAATAAGGACACTCCCACCCACTCTCAGCTGACAAAAAAAAAAAATTTAAATATATACAAAATGGAAATGACATATAGGGGTTTATTTACTAAAGCTGGAGAGTCCAAAATCAGACTCCCTTCTGCATAGAAACCAATCAGCTTCTAACCTCAGCTTGTTCAATGAAGCTTTGGCAATGAAACCTGGAAGCTGATTGGTTTCTATGCAGAAGGGAGTCTGATTTTGGACTCTCCAGCTTTAGTAAATAAACCCCATAGTGTCTTGGACCCAAAAACAACAATCATCAATCAGTGTGCTGTATGCAAAATACACTAGTTAACATGTAATATGTATATTGTGTGTTGTGATTGGTGATGAATAGATGCTTAATAAATAATAAATGATTAAATGAATAAATTAATGATTAATTTAAATAATTTAAATAAATAAATACATAATACATGATGAATAATAAAATGTACACATGAAAGGATTAGTCAATAAAACATGCTGTGGAAGCACTCAAGTGTGCCCTGATGATAGACGCACCATCCTTCATGTCCCCGTCCAGTATTGTGGCGCAGCAGCGCCGTATGTGCTCTAGTGCACCTATCGTATGCACGCATGTTTGCCGGGCGGTGGCAGTTTGCCTCCCCCCCCCCCCCTTGTTCCTTATGGGTGTGGTTACGTATCAGGATGGTCGGTCTATCATCAGGGCACACTTGTGAGAGTGAGTGCTTCCACAGCATGTTTTATTGACTAATCCTTTCATGTGTACATTTTATTATTCATCATGTATTATGTATTTATTTATTTATTTAAAATTATTTAAATTAATAATTCATTTAATCATTTATTATTTATTAAGCATCTATTCATCCCCAATCACAACACACAATATGCGTATTACATGTTAACTAGTGTATTTTGCATACAGCACACTGATTGATGATTGTAGTTTTTGGCTCCATGACACTATATGTCATATCCATTTTGTATATATTTACATTTTTTTTTTTTTTTTTTTTTTTTTTTTTTTAGTCAGCTGAGAGTGGGTGGGAGTGTCCTTATTCACCCTCCTTCTGACATCCCATTAGTATATAGGCTTGTGGCCAGCAGACACATCCCCAGCTCTGAGGAAGGGGGTTCAGCTCCCAAAACGCGTCAGCTTATCCGCATCATTAGACACAATTTGCATTGTGACTGTATTTGTGGATCACCTTTACTGCCTATAATCATGTTGGTTTGTGAGTATACATCTTTATATTTAATAAATTACGTGTTATCCCACGGTAATGCACGATGAGAGTGCGCCCTTGTTTGGTTTTATTTACACTTATGGGGACCCTGATAGGGACTCTGATGTAGGGGGGGGTCGCTGATGTAGAAAAGGACTCTGATGGGGATCCTGATGGGAACCCCAATGTAAGGTATGACTCCGATAGGTACTCTGACGTAATGAGGACTCTAATGGGGAACCTTGGTTAAGGAGAGAACCCTGATGTAAAGGGGATTCTTATGGGGACCCTGATATAAGGGGGACCCCGATGGGTATTTTTTAGCCCACGATTATTTGTAAAATATAAAGTGCGGCCCCCTTACTGAAAGGTTTGGACCTCCCTGGCCTAGAAGGTGAACACACAATTTATATTGAAGCTCATCACACTGCTAAGGCCCGCCCTGTGCTTTCCTCCCTCTGTACTCTGTCTACACCCCTCCCACTCCAGCTCCCAGTGCATGAAAACAAATCTCCATTATTGTGCAATGCAGTATAATATATTGTAATTCAGCTCGGCCAGTCTTGTGACTCACACAGCCCTTGGTACACTCTGTAGCCTAGAAGGTGACAACACAGCATACTATTGAAGCTCAGCCACTTTCTATATCACCTGCATCTTTACAGGAAAATAAACGGGGGTCATGCTGACCCAACCTCCCCCTCCCCTCCTGCCAATCACAGTGATCACATGGTCAGGAACATGCCTGTGGCCTTAAAGTGGAAGAAACAAATTTTAATTAGTTCTAATGATTAATTCTAACTAAGGAGTTCTCCAACACTTCCAGGTCTTGTCCCTCACCCAGCCTAGACAGTGAAAGGAGAAAAAGCAGCCTGATGGGCTCATTCCATTGTCACTCCACTCTCTCCTCCTATCAGCATCTTCTTTGTCAGCACTGCAGCACCATTGATTGGCTCCTTATGCTGCTTTTCTCTCTTCTGATCGGAGCCCTGCTGTACAGGAACTGAAGAAGCTGATACAAAGTCACATTCGGGTACTTATGCAGCTTTTATTGAGAAGATGCAATTAGGAATGTAATTAATTATGTAGAGAGCAGGGGCGGACTGACAACTCATGGGGCCCCTGGGCAATAGGGGATCATGGGGCCCCTGTGTCCTTGCCCAAACTCAAAAATGCCTATGAAAAAAGTACAAGGAGCATCTCATGGGGCCCCCTACTGACCCCGGGTCCTCAGGCAGCGCCCGAGTTTCCAAATGGTCAGTCCGCCCCTGGTAGAGAGTTGTATTGATTGGTGACTTTTCTATCTGCCTGGCGCCATTGCCCTCTCTCCCTGTGGGCGGGGCATAGTGTGGGTAGGATCCAGCCTCACACTACATTGTCTTCTCCTGCTTCTAATCACAGCGCTCTGTAATATAATCGCGTTACACAATGACGAGTATGGAAGAAAATCAAACTTCGGTCATGGGAAAGAAAACTCAACCCTCAGCCTGTCAAAACAGAAAATAAAACCTTCTCTTCACCCGAGCTGGAATCTCAGGAGAGTGTAATAATCCAATATACCCGAGATGAATAATGTCAGCCGCTGTACCGCATTACGTTTGTATCGATACCGCCGATCGTTTGCAGCAATATCAGAGAAGACGGGTGATGCATCAGAAGTAAATGAATTGTTTTCATGCATTGATCCAAATAAAATGTCATTGTGGAAGCCACGTTAGACAGAACAACAGACGGCAACAAATGGAAACACTGCTGCCCTACCACACGGTCTTCCATCCTTAAAGGGACAGTCGGTATAAAAAGAAAACATCATTTTTATATCTAAGGCATATAGTAGAACTCATGGATAAGCATACCTGAAATATTCATCCTTTGTCCCATCTGAAATAAATCTGAGTACATAGATATGGGGTGGGAAAGTCAGCCATACCAGTGTAACCTGTAGTTGATAACTGCTGTGGAACCTCTTCCTTTGTTGCTGCTGTATTATCTGTCTGCAGTGTGGACAGGGTTAAACGGAATAATCAATCATGCAGAAGTGCAGCAGTCATATTTAATGGCTTCCTCTTCGCCCTATAGCAGAAATACTGCTATGGGCGGCACAGGTGCGCGAAATCACGTATATATACGTGACTGTGCATCTCCGGGTAAGGAGAGGGCGCGTGCCGCACGCATTCCCTATCCGCCCTGCCATTCGCGGCCTCGGCTGTCAATCACCAGGTCCTGGCCGGTGATTACTTGCCGGCGCTCAGTGATCGCTGAGCATCCCCGACGGGGAGAGAAACAAAACAGTTCTCTCCCCAGTCAGCTCCTGTACACTGCTTTGCCATGCAAAGCAGTGTGCTTATAGAGAAGAACACACATGCAGCCCCTGGTAAAACAGCACACTGTTAACCCTTTGATCACCCCAAGTTAACCCCTTCCTGCAGTGTGCTTACAGTGAAGAATACACACACAGCTCCTAGTAAAACAGCACACTGTTAACTCTTTGTTCACCCCACATGTTAAGCCCTTCCTGTCCAGTGCCATTAGTACAGTGTCAGGGCTTTTTATTAGCAATGATCACTGTATTGGTGTCACTGGGGATGTCAGTGACACCAATTGAGTTCCCCCCCAGTGTCAGAATGTCCGCTGCAGTCCTGCTATAAGTTTCTGATCGCCGCCATTACTAGTAAAAAAAAAAGAAAGAAAAAAAAATCCCAGGATATATATCGCCATTTATAAACGCTATAACTTTCACGTAAACCAATTAATTTACACATACAGGGATTTTTTTTACCAAAGACGTAGCAGAATACATTTTGGCCTAAATTTATGATGAAATTTGATTTTTTAAATTTTTATACTGGACATGTTTAATAGCAAAGAGTCAAAAATATAGTTTTTTTTTTCTCAAAATTGGTAGTCTTTTTTTTTTTTTTTATAGAGCAAAAAATAAAAAACGCACAGGCGATCAAATACCACCGAAAGAAAGCTCAATTCGTTGGGAAAAAGAATGTAAATTTCATTTGGGTGCAGCGTTTCACGACCGTGCAATTGTCAGTTAAAGTAACGCAGCGCCGTAACACAAAAGATGGCCTGGTCAGGAAGGGGGGTAAATCCTCAGGAGGGTAAGTGGTTAAGGAGACCACTTAGCAATCTATGGAGTGTCTCCAGTGCAGGGGGAAGCCATCATGGCTGGGTCTGGATCAATTCTAGAGGACGGCGATTGGCCGATGCAACAAAGTAAGGTTAGTGCGTGTCTGCAGGCTGCTGAGAGGATAAGAAACG